ACATCAAAAACCCTTTTTCATAACCCTTGAAATTCCCCACAAAAAAGTTCTTCTGACATTTTCCCCTAATTCCTTTCCCACCAGAGAAATTCCCAAACCAGCGCAAACAATTTTTAAAATTACCTTCATCTCATCAACTTTCCTTTCTTTCTCTAATTATCATCCCCTCCATAATGACCTCATCCACCCTCAAGACCCCTTCTCCCCGGAAGTGCCACCTTTCTCCCAGAATTAGAGTCCAAATAATTGAATTATGAGTGTTCAAGCCACCTACGAGTTCACGCTTATGTTCGTGAGTCCGTGTCTCCTCGTCGTTTTCTACGTCGTGGGACGATCCTGGGGGCAGGTCTATATAAACCGCAGACACCGCCCGAGAGACTTCGAGTCATCGAGTGGCGTTCGATAAAGTCAGTGCTCCCTCCGAGAAATCCCGATTTTTTTTTCATTTCAAGCCGATTTTCGTTCTATTCCAAGACCACTCGAGGGTTTTTTTTAATCAAAAGGACAGGATGGAAACAGTGGTGAAGGTGAGCCGAACGGTTACCGGTGGTGTTTACCGTATTTTTATGAAAGGTGCAAGACGCGTTCTAGCCGCTATACCCCTTCTCGGGTTTTACGCGGATGAGGTTGATGATACAACTGATAAATCAGTCACGGTAATGGGATGTTACTCTGGCATGCTTGAGTTTTTGGATCGATTTTGTTGAGGGGTCGATGGTCTCGGCGACAACTGTTGCTTCTGGATGGTTTTAATTCTGTTTTTTCTCTGTTATTAACTAATTAATCTTTCATAAGGGGGAGTTTGATTTGAAAGGGAGATAATTGTGGGGATTAATGACTAGGGGGTTCCTAATCCTCTTTGTTTTAATGGGGTGATTATCTTCTAGTGATCATTAACGATTTTTAACTCTTTCCGACGCAAAAATCTTCATTTATTACTTCGAAAAAATCGATGAATCTAGTGCATTTATCAAAAAACGTCCGAGAAACTTTTCACAGCGCTTGAAATTCCCCACAAAAAAGTTCTTCTGACTTTTCCTCCTAAATTCTTTCCCTCCAGAGAAATTTCCAAAAAACTGCAAACAAATTTTGAAATTCTTAAACTTCTTCTGAATGGTTTTAATTTGGATTTTTTCTCTGCTATTAATTAATCCTTCATAGGTGGGGATTTTGAATTTGAATGGGAGATAATTATGGGAATTAATGACAGAGGGGCTCGTAATCCTCTTTATTGTAATGGGGTGATTATCTTTTGGCGTTCATTAACGATTTGTCATTGATTAATCCCGTGCAATAGAGAAATGAGTGGATTTTTTTTCGTGTGCTGTGTAATTGATTGTCTTTGGAGTAAACGAACAATTATCGTAATTAGTGCATTCAACTCATCTAATTGAATTGAATTGATTGATTGAAATGACATGAATGGAATCGCCATTTTTTGGTGTGCCTCTTCCTCAATTTATTTCGATCTGTTTTCATTTTTTGCTCTCGTACCCAAACCAAGAGAATAATCTGATAATAATCCGCTGATTAATATGTAGACTTTATGTCACGAAATACTATGTACATAACAAATGCATTTTGATGTTGCATATGACCGGAATTTTATGACGATTACCGTAGACATGTATGGACCCGTCTAACGCATGTTAAAAATAGCCAAAACGAACTGATACCAATGTTCCATGGCGTTTCTTTCACTCATCCAGACATCGATGCAACGAGTAAAAAATTCCATAGCAAATTCGGGAAATTTAGAGAATATTTTAAAGAGTTCCTTTTTTATGCCAAACGTTCTTGTAGAGAATTTCATAAGCTACAGAAAACGTCTCTTGACATTCTTCCCTAGACCCACTTATTCCGGAGAAACTACTGATATTTTTTTAAATATTATCTTTTGAAAAATATGTATGGAATAAAATAATATTGTATTTTTAAATGGAACATTAGAGAAAATATGACTACGTAACACAATTCAGGGAACTTTTTTAGTTTAGGGTCAAAATGTCCCAAGGGGCAAACGACCCTTAAAACTACTTGACCCTCAACTGGGAATATCCTCAAGGGTCGTGTGACCTTCAACACCATTGAATCCTTCGAAACCATTGGGGTTTTTACCCTTGAGACCATGCGACTTTCAACTCCAAACGTTCTCAGTGATTGCTCGACCCTGAACTCCAGTCATCCCTAAGGATCGTTAGACCCTTATCTCCAATCGTCCTTAAGGGTTGCAAAACCATTTGAACATCAACTCCAAATGTCCTGAAGGGTCTTTTCACCTCCAAGACCACAACCCTCACCTAAAAACTTCCTTGAGGATGTTTTGACCTTCACAACTATTTGATCCTCAATTAGAACGTCCTTAAAGGTCGTTTAATCCTCAAGAATACTTGATCCTTAATTAGAAAGGTCCTTCAGGGTTGTTTGACCCTCAATTCCAAACGTCCGCAAGGCAGAGATCGGCAATAATCATTAATTCCTCAATATTTTTAGAAATAATTCCAATTATCACCCTGAATTGTCAATTGGTATTCTCAATTTTCCGATTATTCCATCAATCGGTAATCACAACAAAAAATTATGCATTAAATTCTCAATCGGCAATCAGTATTGGGGTATGGTCGATGAATAAAAATATCAGTAATCGGAATTACTAAGAGATTGATTATTATTCCAATCAAGAATGAGAACTGCAAATTAATTCGTTGTTCGAATAATCATTAATCAGAATGGGCAATTATGTGATTATCGAACCAGTCATCAATCATCACAGAAAACTGATCGATTCTTCAATCCATAAATAATTAATAATGTACATTTCCTAATTATTTTCATAATTGTTCCTTCAAAACCATCCAAACGTCATTGACTCTGTAAACCCTGAAAAATGATTTGACCAACAACAAGAAAGGTCCTTAAGGGTCGCTTGACCCTCAAAACATTTGACTCTCAATTGGAAACGTCTCGAAGCGTTCTTTGACTCTCAAAGTCATTTAATCCTCGACTGAAAACATTCTTAAGGGTTATTTGACCTTCAAAATATTTGACCACCAACACCAAACGTTCTTAAGGGTCGTTTGACCTTCAAAAATCTCTTTATCTGCATCTATAGCAAAAAAAATTAAAATTTTCGGAAAACAACCAGAGCGAAAACCTCCGAACTTATCTCCCGTCATCCGCAACTCTCCTACCCACGTATCCCCCTCGCAAAAAACAAGAACCACTGTTTCTTTTCGCGACAGCATTGCACGATTTCATGGAACAGTGAGCGTGGGCCGCCACAGGTGACACGCTTGCAAACATTTTATCTCGGCATCATGCATCGGTGGACACCGCAATATTTTTTTTTTTCACGTATCGCCAATACAACCCCACGCTTGTTGTATCGGCGTTGGCAAACGGAAATAGGCTTGTTGCTGCTCACCGATCGAGACGGAAGGGAGACAGGGAAACATTTGCACGGAAATGCAGTCGACAGTGTTGGATGATAATAAAAATAAATGAATAAATTACGGGGGATTGAATTAACCGAGGGATCTGGGGCGGCGCCAACGGCGCAAGATGCTGGTGTCAGACCGGGATCGGTTATTTTCATTTCGGGGGATTGATAAAGTCTCTTTCATCAGTCAGAGAAGATGATTGCAGCATTCTTGATTGTTACGTGGCTATCTCAGTTATGAGTGGTTTCCACGAAAATTGTCACTCAACCTTTTATGTAGAGGAGAACATTCCCTACAAAAAAAGTGCAGGGACATTTCTTTCTCAAATGGCTCATTATTGAGATAATTGAAGAAAAAAGTCGATACATTTTGAGTTGGGGGTCAAATTGTCTCAAGGGCAAAAGACCCTTTGAGATGTCTGGGATGAAGGATTAAAGGATCCATTCTAATTAGTTTGCTCTTAATTAATCCTTTGTACCCCCAATTCCATTTGGCCCTTAATTCCAAACGTTATTGACGATTGTTTGACCATCAAGTCGAAAAGTCCTTAAAGGGTCATTTCACCCTCAAAACCAGGTGGCCTTCAACTAAAAACGTTCCGAGAGGTCCTTGGACCCTTGAAAACCATTTTACCTTCAGGTTTTTAAGGATCGTTTGACCCTCCGGACCCTTCGGCACCCAACTCCTGATATCATTACAGATCTTTTGACCCTCAAAAACCTTTGAATCTCCACCAGAAGCTTCCTCACGACTCGTTTGACCGTCAAATCTAGTTGACCCTCAACTAGGAACGTACCGAGTGATCCTTTGATCCTTAATAACTATTTCATTTTCAACTAAAACCGTCTTTGAGGGCCATTTGACCCTCAAAACCATTTTATCTTCAATTAGACAGGTTTTTAAGGATCGTTTGACTCTCAAGATCCTTCGACACCCAACTCCTAACATTCTTACGGGTCTTTTGACCCTCAAAAACCTTTGAATCTTCACCAAAAGCGTCCTCAAAAATCGTTTGATCCTCAAAAACCTTTGAACCTCAACTAAAAACATCTTATGACTCGTTTGACCCTCAACTAGGAACGTCCCGAGTGATCCTTCGACCCTTAATAACCATTTCCCTCTTAACTAGAAACGTCTTTTTGAGGCCTACTGGACCTTCAAAACCATTTCATCCTCAACTAGACAGATTCTTAAAGATCGTTTGACACGCAAGGCCCTTCGACACTCAACTCCTAACAACACTACAGGTCTTTTAGCCCTCAAAAACCTTTGAACCTCAACTAAAAACGTTCTCACGAGTCATTTGACCCTCAAAAGCCCTTGAACCTCAACTAAAAACATCCTCACGAGTCACTTGATCCTCAAAAACATCCACTCGAAAGGTTTTCAAGTGTCATTAGACCCAACATCAAAAGGCCTTTCTCATACAGAACAGACTTCCCTACGAAAAAACATCCATCAGGAAATCCCCCCAAAACTGCTCATCAACATACCTAATTAATAAAACCACTCTCATAATCTCCACCAGAACCCCAACTAACCCCTGAAATTCGTTTCCAGGGAGGTGAGGAAGCCGAGACAAGCCCAGCAGAAGAGAAATCAACCCCAGCGAGTCCAACGGAGGCAGTACCCCCAGCAGACCCAGTGGAGCCAGCCACCCCAGCAGTAGCAACAACCAATGACAAGAATGAGGCATCCTCAACCCCTGCCCCCACTCCCGTCCCGCTCGAGGCACCCAAAGACGATGAGAAAGCCGATAAAAAACCCGAGGTCAGTCAAGTGCAGGCCGCAATAGTAGAGCCAATGGTAGAAGTCACATCCAAGTCCCAGCCAATCGTAACAGCGTCTATCATTGAGAGGAAAACCAGTGAGGACTTCCCGTCCCACCTTCCATCGAGTCCACCCCCGACACCCATTGACCCATCGCCCTTACAGCAGGCACAGCAATCAGCTGCCCATGCTAATCAACTTGCTGAAGCACTCAAATTGCCAGCTGTGTCAATAGTCCAGACCCAGTGTGATAACGATTCGAATAAAGATGTTGATGATGTAATCGTTAAGACTGATATCAAACATTCAGAGACGAATGAATCATCGACCGAGGATGATAAAGAGCTTGTGGTAATGTCTGAGGAGGGTCCAGTGCCAGTAACACCTGTTGATGAGGTTTCTAGTGTTCCTGAAGTGGCTGGCGGTCCGAAGGAAATTCTCCCAGAGCCAGAGCCTGAGGTAATCGAAGAGATAGTGATTGAGGAGGTGAATCAAGTGGAGGAGAACATCCCTGTGGAGGAGGTCGAGGTGGAGGTGATCGAGGAGCCTGACGTTCTGGTGTCACCACCACCACCACCACCACCAACAGATGAGATTGAAATTGTCGAGGAGATTGAGACTAAAGAGGAAGTTCCTCCACCCCTTCCAGAGTCCCCCATTCCAGTTCCCAAAGCTTCCTCAGAACTCCTCAACTTCATGTCCTCACAGATATCAGACACTCCACCTCTGTCTTCGATAATCGATTGTGCTGCTGTACCACAGGAGACTGATAGCCCACAGGATAAATTGGAGAAGACTGATGAGACTGAAGTTATTGAGACTAACGAAATTACAAATGAAACAGACAAACCACAAGCTATTGATTCTCAAGATGTCGATGATTTACCACCACCAGTTGATGATTATTCAGAGAGTAAACATGATGATAGCCTTCTCACACCACCACGCAGTCCCAGCCCCTCGTCACTCCCATCACCCTCTGATGAGTCCTCAAATGTTAACGATAATAACAGCATTAACAATGATAGAACAGAAACAATTAATAACATCAATTGTCATAACAATGTCATTGATAAGGAGGATAGACTTGCTGATAACAACGTGGATAAGATGCAGTTTCCATTAAATTACGCAGACATCGTGAAGAAAGACCAGGTGATTAATTATGAAAAAAATGGAGATTATCCTGGCATGTGTTGGAGGCACCAAATCAAAGAATTTTGTTTATTGATAATGAACGATTCTGAGAATTTTCTGGCATCGTAAGCTCTGATAAGAACCTGCTGTACTATGTGGTGTAGTCTACCAATTAATGTGGGTCACTCTGAGGTGGACCCAACTTCTGACTCATCTCCAACATGTCCGTGTGTTTTGTGGGGGATGTACTGTTGGGGCCCACGATTATGGGGTTTTCCATGGGGTTCAATGTTTATCCATTCATTGGGGGGGCATTACTACCCCTGGGGACTCATGGGGCCTCGACATTAACATCTGCTGGGGTTTCGTCCTGTTGGGGAGGAGGGGGTGGGACTCCTGGGGGTGATCCTTCTCCTAGATACCTTGTGTTGTTTTACCTCTCGGTTTTCTTCACCATTATTAACAGTTTTTTCAGTTCATGTAGATGAGAGTTCGAGGTGCTCACTGATAGACGAGTTTATTATGTGTTTTAGGTAGTTGGGGGGAGGTTCAAGTGCTTTTTTGTGTAAATCTCATGATTTTATTTTGGTTGATAAATTATTTAGGGCTTATGATGTTTTTTTGAATATTTTTTTTTATCAATATCTTATAAGTTTTCAAGTGATAGTTTCTTTTTTTTTCAAGTCATCAAATGTTGGGAGTAGAATAGCATTCATTGGGATCTTTTGTTTGTAAATTAGTTTGAGAATTTAATTCAAGGGAAAAAGCATCATTCAATTTTTCAAAGGACTTCACATAGTTTTTAAAATTATTTATCGACTCCTGATAGTTTTTTCCAGTTGATAAGCCACAGTTTCAATTTTTTTTCTTTTTATCAAATGTGAAAAAAGTTGAATCCGTCTAATCTTTTATGTAGGGATTTTTTGAGAGTTTGATTTGAAAATATTATTCAATTTTTGAAGAATTTCTGATTCTTTCTTTCTATCGTTTATAAACTTTTTTTCGTCTCTCTTTTGTTTCATTTTTTCAATGACTTTTGATGTTTCTCTTATGATTTAGCATCTCATAATAATTATTTCAAATCAAAATATCGTTAGTTTTATTTTATTTATTTTTTTTTTTTTTCAAATTTTCAAATGTTAAAGAAGACGTCAGGGGAGACTACTATCAGTTTTAAAAATCGTGGGTGATTAGAGTGAGATTCCTCATGCATTGAAGATCGATTATATACGTCGAAAAACGAATAATTAGTGCAAAAATATTGAGTGTTTGTTGTTCGTTTGCCACGCACACGCTTAAAATGTTAAAAATAGTCCAGGACCTCCAATTTTTGAGCTATAGAGTTTTTTTTTCAAAATTTTTGGAAAAAACTGTACAATAACAATTACGAATTAGTTTTTTGAAATTCGACTCCTATACAGCTAATTTTGTTTTGTTTAATATAAAAATTTGCGCCATTAATGTAAAATAGACAAAACGGTTATCCTTGAGGACAAACAGAACCCCTGTGTTTATATGAACTTTTAGAATTGTATTTTCTTCTGTAATTATTACTTTTTATTTATGAAAATAGTTCATTGACTCAACAATGCAATGCTCAATTAGATAAAGTAATTTCATAGATAAAAATTATTAATTGTAAGAGAAAGCATAATTGTAAAAGTTCATATATACACAGGGCTTCCGTTTCCCCTTAAAATATGTTAAATATATTCTCGATTCTTTCAAAACCATTTTTTGGGCTATTTTACATGAATGGTGCTATTGTTTCTTTGAAAACAAAAATGAAATTAGCTGTGTCGAAGTCGAATTTCAAAAAACTAATTCGTAATTGTCATTGCGCACATTTTTTCAAAAATTTTGAAAAGCTAACCTCTGTAGCTCAAACATTGGAGGCCCTAGACTATTTTTAACATTTTAAGCTTCTGCGGGTCAAACGAAGAATAAACAATCATTTTTTTGCAATAATTATTCATTTGTAGCTATACATAATCAATCTTAAATGCATGAGAAATCTCATTCCAGTAACCCGCAACTTTTAAAACTCATAGTAGTTTCCCCTTAATACTTTACTCACATAAAAATAATTTTCATTTGCGAATCAGTCGGCTGGAAAATTGAATTTTTATATTTATAGTTATCTAGAATTCATCCTCACTTCATTAAGAATATCAATTATGGTCAAAAATCGTCAAATTATCATAAAAATCAGAAGATTTTCATTTCCAATTGCTCAGTTTGCATCTTAAAAAATACTTTTTAATGAATTAATTTGGAAAATTCTTTAATTTTGAATTAATTTATCGCACTTGAATCTCTTCAAAATGTATTAAGTGCTGATTCCCTGTGTTTGCATCCTCTAAATTGTAATAATAGCATTCTGCAATCGTCAGCATGTGCCTTGTGGGAATCACGTACGATGTACATAGAAATTAACAATTTAAAGGACAATGAGCAATGTGTTGGGCTGCTTATGTCTTGGCATGCAGGGAGCAGCAATCCTAGAGTTAGAATTTTTGTGGCTCTTTGGTGATGAATGGGAGGAATAATGAGAGTTTTGTGTGTGAACAGAGCATAGCCGAGCCGGAGGCACCAGTCGAGAAGGTCAGCGAGGTGACGACAGAAAAAATCGAGGAAGCCCCCAAGAGCCCTCCACCATCTGTTCCAACTGAGGTTTCTGCACCTGCACCACCTGTCATCACTGAGGATGTTGCATCAGTCATCAAAGTATGTTTCATTTATGGGAATATTTTAATCATTCTGATTATTCATTCTCATTATTGAAGGGTAGAAAACTAAATTTTATTTTGCAGAAACTTTTCTTCCTTTATTTATTTATTTTTATTCTGCTGAATTATTACGGAATTTTTTATGGTATATTTGAGATTTTTTACTGTACAAATTTAATTTTTAATGAATAATCATTTTAAAAAATGGTGAACAATGATGATGAGGCTTTTGCATTTTTAAAGCAAGTATTTAGTTGAATTTAAGGTCTTATCCAGAAAAAATACTTGAAGTCAATTCTCTAAACTTGTTCAAAATTTTATGGTTTTCTAAATCATAAAAAAAGTTGATAAAAAATTTTAATTAATTTTTTGGCGAATTTAAACAAAAATTTTAATTGTCAAATAATGTAGAACAGATTTATCATTGGGTTTTCTTTTGAAATCGTTCGTTCATTCAAGTTATTTTGATATTAAAGAATTGTTTCTTATTTTTTCAATGAGGATTTCGCACTTTTAATTAACAAAAAAAACATGTGGTTTATTTTATGAAAAAATTATTTATGACAAAATAATTGGAATAATTTGTACTTTTGTATTGCATTTTCTGATTTTTTCTCCACAATTTTTACGTGATTTTGTTATTGTCTTTGTTAATTGTTAAAAAAATGATCAGAAATTTTTGTGAGAATGAAGGGTTTAGGGTTATTTAAAAATTTATCAAGTGATGATCGCCATAAGGCCTGTAAATCGCCGAGCGATTACAGGTCCTCGAGACTAACTAGCCCAAGAAGACTACAGAGCGAGGGGCCATCTGATGAAAATTCAAATCACAAAACCAATCCCAACTTTTAATTCATAAAAATTCATGAACTAATTTTCTACTTTCCTTCCAGGCCATCGAGGAAATTGACATTAACGAGAAGGCAGTCGCAGCGGCAGTGAACGAGAACATTGAGAGTGTCAATACGAATGTAAGTTCAACTAAAAACTATTCAAATTTTGATATTGAAGTTGTAAAACTGTTGGGGTCGTTTAAAAATTAAACGTTTCAATTTCATTTGTCCCATTTTTGGGGAAAATTGCTTGAAAAAAATTTCGAAACATTTCTTTGTAACGACAAAAAATCGACAACAAAACTATTTTTCTTCATATTCTCTTGTAGATAATTATATAATAACAAGAGATACGTTAAAACGGTCTAGATAAAATAAAACATTCCTGTGAATAACCATAAAAAAAAGAAACAAAAACTGCATAAATGGAGAAAAATTCAACAGGAACGAAAGTTCAAATAAAAATACTTTAAATTTCGATATGAAGATTTTACTTATAAAACTGTTGAAGTCTCGGATAAAACGATCCAGTTTTGTTTATCATATTTGTGTGGGAAATCCCCTGACGAAAATGTGGAAACCATTTCTTGTGAAGAAAAATTTCTAGACAAAACAGTTTTTTGCTCATATCCTCTTGTAACTAATTACGTAATTAACAAAAGATATGTCAGAACTGTCCAGATAAAATGAAGCTTTCCTGTCAATAATCATAAATAAACAGAAAATAGCGAAGTAAATATGAAAATACTGTATAAGTCAAGAAATTTCCATCGAGTTCAACAAAAACTTCAAATTTTGATATACTGAAGGGGTAAAATGTTGGAGTCGAATCCAACGTTCCAATTTCGTTCATAATTTTTGTGAAAAATTTCTTCATGAAAATGTCGAAACATTTTTAAAGAAAATAATTCCAAATAAAACTATTTTCTGTATATTTCCTCGTAATCAATTACATAATTAACAAATATGTCAGGACTGTCTAGATAAAAGGAAATTTTTCTGTCAATAATTACAAATAAAGTAGCAATTATTATTACATAATTATAATCCGAGAAAATTTTTAGTCTCTAATTCCCAATTTCTGTCATTTTTTTAATTCATTCTATGAAAAGGGAAGGAGAGAAATCGAATTTACGAGTATTCTTCCATTATTCGAAAAATATATCGATTTTAAAACTTTCCGGAGACATTGAAAAATTAATTTATTTAGTTCTACCGCCCACTTTTTTGCAAATTTTGAATTTCTTATGGTTCAAATATTGATATCCCTCTAATACTTAAAGAAAATATCCATTTTCTAGTCGATTATCTCTTTCTGATTCTGTTTTTCATTTCCTGTTCGGAACAATAATTAATCAATTTAATAATAATAATAATATAAATTAAATAAATGGAAATGAGTGAGAAAAAACTACAAAATAAATGAAGAAAAATACATTGACTCAAAAAGTTTTACAACTTTACTCCCAACGATCAAACTCTGTAGTCATCATTAATTAATATAAATTATCATCCACAGGAAATAATTGCCGACATGAATCACCAAAACACCCTGAAGGAATAAGCGCCGCTAAACGAATTTGTATTTTGGGAAGAAGAAACTTTTTTTTTCTCGTTAAAGCCAAAAAAAAAGTATATTATATAGATATGTATATTTGGACCATTCCTGCAAACTAAACTGAATAACAATTTCTTTCGTTAATGAGCAGCAACAGCAAAAACACTGAGGAAAACACCAACAAACCCATGATAAACTGATGTTGTTGAACATCGACCAAGGGCATAAGAACCAATTCTTTCGTTTTTAATTATAAAAAGTATAAATTTTATTTCAAAATTCGTAGGGCCTATTAATTGTACAATTCGACAGGCAGGGGTGGTGGAGAGATTTTCATTTCCAAAATTATCAATTAATAACAACTCATTTTTATTATTAATTCACCAGTGAAGTTTTTAAATGTAAACAATCGATTTGTCGTTAGGGAAAAAGGTGGAAAGGCATTTTTTGTTGGAAATTTTATTCTTTACAAAAAAAATCTTTTGACATTTTTCCTTAAACAGTTAACGAAACCCCCAAATGAACTTATTACGTTGAACCTTCACTAGAATTCAAACGATTGAAAGAAAAAATGGATAGGCAACAAAAATACAGCAGGCGATGAGGTAATTTCACGAGTCAACATCTCCCCAAACAATTGACTGAAATTAAAACCACGAATAACATCGGTTGATCCTCGATAAGGATCAATCCCTGCAGATTTAAAAAGACGAAAAAAAAATATGTAGAAATTTTTAAAGTGTCATTAATTGTTATTAAGATAATTCTAATGGGAAATAAAAAAATTATTAATGTAGCAATGAGACGAGCGATAAAATTCGTGGGCGAAAGAATTAATTAATTGAAAGAGCTGATTGTAAGTGTGTTTTGTTCAGTTGGCTTAATCATCGTATTTACCTCATAAAAAAGAAAATACTCATAAGAATAATAAGGTGAATACGAGCGAGTGAATTGAATACCCTTGGTGTCAATAATTGCCACGAAGAATGATCAATGATCGAGGGAGTTGAGAGGATAAAGGGCGTGAGTGGAATTTTTTTTGTAAGTAAGAAACGAAATATGTGTGAGAGACTGAATGAGGCAATTATCGATTGATAAGGATTGATGAGTGAAGGGTACTGAGCCAATACGTGACACACTGCATTAATTATCATTTTTTCGTGCTCGTGGAATGAACACTCGATCTAATAACTTCTGTTTTTAAATTTTTAATTACGTAGAGATGGTTGAAGGAGATTAGTAAGAAAGTGTTTCCATTATTTCGCGATTGTCTCCCAATTATTGAGTTTAGGAGAAAATGTCATTTTTGTAGATTGTGAAATTCTCTACAAAAGAAGTCTTCTGACATTCTCCCCTAAACTCAATAGTTTAGGAGAAAATTACGAAATAAATTGCAGCCTCGATTCACCAAGAGAAAATCCTCAAAAAATCTACATCCCACAATTTCGCCAATATCTTTGAAAGCAGTGGGTTTACGAGAAAATGTCAGAAAACATTTTTTCAAGAGGATTTAATTTCCGACAAAAAATGTTTGCTGACATTTTCCCCTAAAAGCCATCCTTCCAAAGTTATTAGCCAAGAAAAATCTCCTTCTCTACTTCCCTACCGACTCGCCACTTCAAATTCTCCCTTCATTTCTCAAATTTTATTAATTTCCTTCAATTCGCAATTACAAGAAGCTGCACACTTCCACAATGCAAATGCACGCACACAAATACGAAAGAAAAATTTTTACGAAACAAACATACGATTACAGTAAGAGCAACGTAAGTGATATATAATCTAGACGTAGAATGAAAAAAAAAACGAAGTTAAAAAATCGTATGTGTAAATTCAACGTTCGAGGGGCTACTTCATTAAAGAAAAGACACTTTACCCAACGACGAAAGCCTATCGTAATTTTATGATAATCATTTAAACAAAATGAATGAAAGAAAACGAAGAAAACAACAAGTGGGAAATAACCCAAAATATCGCCTAATTAAACGTAACAAAAAATGTCAAAAAATCGATTAAATTAAAGTAACGAGACCCGCACAATATTTACCATCCCCCCGAAAATACAAAAAAGTAAATGAATAATACATTTTTCAACGTTTTTACTACGATGTTTCTACGTTTATACGAATCTTCAAGAGAGAGAGAGAAAAAAAAATGATGAAAGGAGGAGAAAAAAGATAATTAAAAAATAATTGCCTACAAACGAATTTTGTTGATAAGGGCCGTAGCTTAGATAACGCATATATGTATATGCCTCACATCGGAAAATATTTCTAAGTGTTAGAGTCTTCTTTTTTCATAATTTTTCTTTTTTAAAAATAATAAAATGAGCGATTTACTCGCATTTGCATTGATTTTAATGGATTTAATTTAACGAATAAATAAAATGATGAATTAAAATTGAATGATGATGATGATGAGGGGAGTGGAGAGGAGGGAAGGGGGAAAACAATTTTGAGGAAAAAAGTGTATAGTAAAATCTTAACTATATGGAGTTTAATTAAATATTGTCCGTAATGATATTTACAACGAAAATGGAAAAATGAAATGAGAAAAAAAAGTGATGGAAATTTCGATGTTTCGTTTGAGGAATTATCTCAAACGAGATGGAAAAAACTTTTTTAATTAAAAAAAAAATGAAAAAAATTATGATGGACCTGAGGTGCCTGTGTAGCATCGTCTATCAGCCGTCTGGGGTGTCTCCATTCCGATTATAATTCCATTTTTCAATGATTGAATGATTGATTCATCGGTCTGGGTCGCACGAGCTGATGAGTTTTTTTATTTCCTTTGTATTTTCTCCTTTTGTTCTATTCAGTTTCTTCGAGGGGTGGAGACACCCTGGACGTGAAAGTACCCAGTCTTCAGTATCTTCGATCAGCAGTTATGATAGTAACTATTCTACATTTATCTATATCCTATAATAAACTGTGAAACAAGTGTATAATGAAGTTTTTATTTATTCTTGCGGGTAATCCTGGGTCATTTTGTGTGTGGGAGATCTGACATCTCTCTATATTATGAAAATCCAAATCAATTTTTGGTGATGAAAATTTGGTACTCCAAATTAAGACTCCACAAAAAGAAATTAAGAGTCACGAGGGTCAGAGTGAGGATCATGAGAGTTAGAATAAGGGTCACGAGGGTCAGAATAAGCTCAACAAGGATCAGATTAAGGTTCATGAGGATTCGAATAAGGGTCACGAGGGTTATCGATGAGGGTCAGATCAAGAATCCAAATAAGGGTCACATGGGTCGGATTAAGCATTATAAAAGTCTGACTAAGGGTCATGTGGGTCAGAAACTAAGGGTCTATATATTTCTGTATATTATAAAAATTCAAATCGACTTCTGGTGATGAAAATTTGGTACTCAAAATTAAGACTCCAAATTAAGGGTCAGCTAGTGTTTGAAGAAAACTCAATAGTGTTGAAGATATTTTCGAAATGACATGTGAACTCATTGGGAAAAATGAATCGCAATATTGTAAATTGTTTTGTTAATAGTTACAAAACTATTAGATTCGTCTACAAAGTCAAGATATTTCAGAGGAAAATTTTATGAAAAAAACCCTTCCCATGTTCAAAATATAAACATTGATGAATGTTTATATTAAAACTTATTGAAATTTATTGCCATTACATATTTGCATTTGAAACAAATAGAATCAAACTTCTTATTTTGACTTTTTCTAATCGTATTAGAAACTATTTTTGAATATTTTGAATCCTGGAAGAATCGTGGTAATTCTTGGAGAGGAAGGAAATTGTGTAGGTTTCAATGATTTCTTTGGATTCTTCGATAAATCCCATATTGTCGGAGATATTTGCGAAATATCATGTGAATTAACTGGTAAAAATGAATTGCAATATTGAAAATTGTTTTGTTAATATTTACAAAACTTAGGTCCACCCGACAATTCGGAAGACATTTTTGAGAAAATTTTTTATAAAAAATAACCTTTCCCATCATTGAAATATAAACATTGAGAAATGAATTAATTCTTATTAAATATTTGCAGTTGCAATAAATAGAATAAAACTTTTTATTTTTACTTTTTCTATTCACGAAATGGAAAGCGCGCTCTGCGCGCCTGACAGTTTGGTAGATTTTATATCACTCATCACGTTAATATTTAAATTGATTAGAATCAGTATGTTCTCTCACGGATTCGAATTTCTATAGTATTACCAAGAAGAAATTCGTCGAAATCCATGAAAACTACAATTGAGAATTAATACATACACCGTTGGAAGTCACTAACACCAACATCACCATCAGTGATCAATATCATTATCAACAACATCAGTATCATCATTATGTATGCGATTTCTCTTTCAGACATTTAGGAATAAACCTGTGATATCTCCTGTTTATATAAGAATTCAACAATATTTTTGTTGAAAATTAGCAAACACAGATTCGTTTCAATAAAAATTTAATTTCTAACTCATAAAGGCCTCATTTGAATCAATGGAACATGTGTTCATGTTCAAAAAAACATTTATTTTAGGCAAATCAATTTAATTTAATTTAAATAAATTGGCCACATCTCAATTATTCATAATTTTCAATAAACAATTTCAGAATATCTGCTCATAACAATAGATATTCATTAATTATGTAGTAGAAACGATATCAGTTCAACGATACACTAGCAGCTTCGAGAGTTTTTATGAAGGAATCCAGCTCCTCTCGATTCATTTCGATTCCCAAAATTTCTTCCTCGCCTTTTTCTTTCACTCTGAGATCCAGCTGGAGGAGCGGTTCCTTCAACGAAGACACTTTGCTCGATCCCATCACCATCTGCAATGAATCATCAGCTCGATGATGTAGGGTTTGATAATTAGAGAGTTGAAGTAATGAAGAAAAATAGAGAATACTTTTAGTCTCCAGTCGAAGTCCATCATCGTGGCAGTCTGTTTCTGAGAATGATTGAATGCTAGAGCCTTCGCTAACTGATCTCTTCGGATTTTTAGACAGCTTAGGATGATAGTCTGGACGTTCTCAGGCATGTGGAAGAACTGCTGAGGCATCTGCAAATAGAGATAATCCTATTTTCATTTGATGAATTTTAACTGGAATGGAACAATCTTTTTTAGGAGAGACTGCACTGATATTACGAAATCGTTGGTGCCTCCATTTATCGGGCTGATGATTTTATTACTTCAGAAAGAGGTTTTAGAAGAAGAAAATCTTCAAAAGTGTTCTCTTCAACAATTCTCAACCCATTGATTCGAATTTTGGTTCACACATACATACTATGTATGCAAACAGAACTAAATGAGTTCTTTTTTATTTCTAATTTTCGAGATTTTGGAATTTTGTTCTCAAAAGTTGCTGATGCGACGAATGTAACAAATTGGGAATTGGGGACATATTCAATTATATCATAAATCATTGAAGTAGAAATTTTTTCACATTTTTCGAACCATTTATCTACAATATAATTAGAAAATGATGGAAAAAAATCTGAAAAATTTATACTTCAATAATTCACTAGGGGAGGATGGGGCAAAACGGCCCCCCTTCAATCGTCAATATTTTCCGATTCAATAATCCGATTGGGATGAGTTAGAGCTCGTTTTGAAGAATGAAAAATTATCTTCAAAATGAAGTTGAAACTGGGAATTTTCACAATGTCATTCACAAGTTATTGACAATTGAAGGGGGGCCGTTTTGCCCCACCCTCCCGTATGTACTTCAATCTGAACTATTGTTTATTTTTTTTATCTGTAGCAATTTCGAGAAAAAAAATGTAAAAAACAATTTTCAAAAAGCCGCATTTAGTTATATTTATGCATATATTCTGTACGTGTAAACCAAAATTCAAGTCAATGGATTAAGAATTGCGTTACGAGGACACTTTCAACAATTTCATCAATCAATAAAAAATAAAAACCTGATTTTCTCTTATTTTTGTAGTAAACTCATCCGGACGATCAATAAAGGCTCCTGCGATTTTGAAATGTTACTGTCTCCTCTCAATGATAGTGAAATCTTCTGGTAGTAAATACCGATTTTTTCAAAAACTAATCATTATTGAAGTGAGAGAGATCAACAATTATGGCGATAGAATCAGCAATTTGAAGTTTTGACGTACTTTGGCATCATCGAGGTGCAGAACAGCTGGTTTATTGAACAATGTTAAGAGTATTTTATGGGTATAACTGTATTCATCTTCAGTCCAACCCATCTTAGAGAAATGGGAATATTCGGGTCCTGAGGAGCCACAAACTTCACTGACGCAGGAATGTAAAAACTGAAATCAGTGAAATTATGGTAATTATGATTTGTCATTAATCGAATCGTGTCGGCAGGGAGTGATGTTAGGATAGAATCAAGAAAAACACGTGAAAGGGTTATTTACTGCAGAGTTTCCAGGAAAAACTTTGAAACGATTTAAATTTCCTACGTACATGTGGCGAATTTCACAATACAAGTTTTGAGTTTCAAATGTTTAAGTGAAACTCCCATAAGTGAATGAAAAATAATAATCAAATCATTTAAACTGGCTATATTTTTCTGCCTATCTCTCTATACAATAAAAATCTTAATCGACTTCTAGGGATGAAAATTTGGTACTCAAAATTAAGATTCAAAAGTTAAGGGTCACAAGGGCCAAAATAAGGGTCACGAGGATCACAATAAGGGTTACGAGGTTTAGATTAATAATTACAAGAGTTCGAATAAGAGTCCAAATAAGAATGACAAGGGTCAGATTATAAGTCATATGGGTCAGATTAAGGGTCGTAAGGGTCACAAGGGTCAGATTAAGGAATCAAAAAAAGGTCACAAGAGTTCGATTAAAGGACATGCATGGTCATATGGGGGTTGGTGAGCGAAACGAGCAGGGGAGGGAGCGCCCTAATCTGTTTGAAAAAAAATGATAGGCAACAAAAATACAGCAGACGATGAATTAATTTCACGCATCAACATCTCACCAAACAATTGACTGAAATTAAAACCACGAACAACATCGATTGATCCTCGATAAAGATCAATCCCTGCACACTTAAAAAGACGAAAAAGAATATGTAGAAATTTTAAAAGGGCCATTAATTGCTATTAAGATAATTCGAATGGGAAATAAAAGAAATTATTAATGTAGCAACGAGACGAGCGATAAGATTCGTGGGCGAAAGAATTAATTAATTAAAAGAGCTGATTGTAAGTGTGTTTTGTTCAATTGGCTTAATCATCGTATTTACCTCATAAAAAAGAAAATAGTCATAAGAATAATAAGGTGAATACGAGCGAGTGAATTGAATACCCTTGGTGTCAATAATTGCCAGGAAGAATGATCAATGATCGAGGGAGTTGAGAGGATAAAGGGCGTGAGTGGAATTTTTTTTTGTAAGTAAGAAACGAAATATGTGTGAGAGACTGAATGAGGCAATTATCGATTGATAAGGATTGATGAGTGAAGGGTACTGAGCCAATACGTGACACACTGCATTAATTATTATTTTTTCGTGCTCGTGGAATGAACATTCGATCTAATAACTTCTGTTTTTAAATTTTTAATTACGTAGACATTGCTGAAGAAGATTAGTAAGAAAGTGTTTCCATTATTTCGCGATTATCTCCTCAATCATTGAGTTTCGGAGAAAATGTTAGAAAATAAGTTTTATCGGTCGTGAAATTCTCTACAAAAGAAGTTTTTTGACATTCTCCCCTAGACCCAATAGTTTAGGAGAAAAATACGAAATAAATTGCAGCCTCGATTCACTAGGAGAAAATCCTCATAAAAAGTTGCATTCAACTATTTCTTCAGCATCAAAAATATATTTACCTGAGTTAATAAATTATTGTTTTCCTCTCTCGTGAGGCATGAATTCAAGTTTTCTCCGTCCATATCAACAATCACCTCGATTCTCCCTTTTTAAAAACAACACAACAAAGCCTTCAATAATAAACATTTCAACTGTCAAATATTTTAGGTTAAACTCAATCGATAAAATCGACAATTGAGAAAATTACACCATAGGAGGAGAGATGGACTCACTTGCTTGTGTCCATCCCATGCTCTCCAGTCCTCTCCTCGCATTCCAAACAATCTCGCCGGTATCTGGACATCCTGTCCATAATTGTGTCAATAAATAGGATAATTGTTGGTGTATTCAATATTCAAATTGACTTTTCCAGTGATCAGAATGCCGAACACTTTGCTCGACGTTGATGAGTCACTCATGAAAAAGAACCTCTTGCTTCCTGTGAGAATGTCACTTCATTTCTTCTCACAATTGAATTAGAGATATATATTTAAACAAATTTTAATGATTTCGTACTGAATGTCACCTTGAATTTATGATTATTATTGATTTGATCATTTTATCTTAAGAGCTCGCCATTTCGGGGACAAATATCATTCATCATATACATGATTACATAATTACGCAGAATATCAGCTTACAGCAATTTACTTCATCAGTAACGTTAGTCAACGGCCAACCCTCACCCTCTTGAAAATTGATGGCGATTTTTTCTACGATTAGGGGGCTTGAAAAACTATCTCTCAAATTTTTTCAGATTTTTTTCACAACCCAGTTCGGAAATATGTTTTTTTCAAATTGTTCCGTTTTTTTACAATAACTCGAGTTCTATACTCATCCGATTTTCATTTATTAGGGGGTAAAATTTTTCATTTTTCACCACCTATAAGGATGTTTTTTTAAAAATTTTTCCAATCTTTAGATGCTCGAAATGACGAATTTTCGAAAAAAAAAGTTGAAAAACTTAAATTTTGCCAATTATGTCACGGTCGATTATTTTAATTTTTTTTTCAGTAATTCTTGTAATGAAAACGAAAACTTTGAGCCGTCATACTTGTTGGGTTCCATCCAGGATCTATTTTTTTTTTTATTTTTTCTTTTTAAAATTGCGAAAATTTGGTGAAAACACCTTAAAACGACTTTAATTATGTATCGAAAAAATATGTAATATATAGGTATATATTTAAATTTACTTCATACTGTTTATAATTAAAGTCAACCAATGACATTTTGGGGTATTTTGACCGAATTCGCGGAATTTTGAGAATAAAAAAATTAAAAATAAAATACATCTAAGACAAAACCCAACATGTATGATGGCACAACATTTTTGTTTTGATTATAGGAATTACTAGAAAAAAAATTAAAATAATCAACCGTGACGTAATTAGCCAAATTCAAGTTTTTCAACTTTTTTTTTCGAAAATTCGTTATTTCGAGCATCTAGAGGTTGGAAAAAATTTGGACAAAAAACATTCTTATAGGTGGTGAAAAATGGAAAATTTTTATCCCTAATAAATCGAAATCGGATGAGTAGAACTTGAGTTATTGTAGAAAAAAAACGAACAATTGGGAAACAAAATATCTCCGAACTGGGCTGTCAAAAAAATCTGAAAAAATTTGAGAGATAGTTTTTCAAGCCCCCCAATCGTAGAAAAAATCGCCATCAATTTTCAAGAGGGTGAGGGTCAGCCGTTGACTCATTTGGTATGGAATACCTTATATAAGAATTGTACACATTTAGGTTTGTGCACAAGTGTAAAAATTTAATAAGACATACACACCAATTTTTTAAACGTTCACAGTTGTACTCAATTTCATTTTTGTTGTGCACATGGAATAAATTTGGTAAAATTTTCAAAAGTGTATGCACAAACTTATGCAAATCAAGGAACCCAGTAAACAGTGATCCGAAAGTTTGCCATAAAGAAGGCTATTTTGCCGATAAATTACGGCAAATTGTCGAGTTTTGCTGTCTGGGAAGTTGTACAAGATGTTAGCTTGAAAAAATTTACATTGTTAATTATATTTAATTACTGATGATGCCGAGAATGAATCATTTAGGGGAGGGTGGGGTATAATAGACACTTTTGACTTTTTTAAGGATGTTTATCCAAAACTGCAAATATTCAGAAGAAAATTGATTTTTTTTTCAACTGAGAGATGAAGTTATTCCCTTTATCTTGATGACAATTTCAATCCACCACTCCACGTTTATTATTTAGAAATGGAGTGGACAAAATGCACTAAACGCATGTGCTTATGTGCGCTTATATGGGATAGAATAAGAGCCCGTGTATAAAGAAAAATTCGTTTATTTCTGGCGAGACTATTGCGATTAATTTTTTCTTAACATCAAAGAAGTTAGTTTCATATGTTGTGCTATCAGCCAAAAAAAATACAGAATTTTCCTTGAACATGGAAAAATAAAATTTGCTGGAAATGGCTAACCATCCTTAAAAATATTCATAATTCATAAAAATATTTATCAATTGAGCTCAGTCTAGGCTCGCCACAAGGGAGAAAAACTGCCCTTTTCATTGAAAAAAAAATGATACAATTTCATCAACAATTGAATAAGCCATTAGCATTTGAAAAAAAGTAAAAAGTGTCCATTTTACCCCATCGCTCTCTAATGGGAAAATATGAAATAAAAAATTCTAAAGTCGAATATCCCTTGACATATTCTCTTAAAATTCCATATTTAATTATTTAAAAAATTGCGTAGTTCTGTTACGCTTGGCTTTATCGTGTAGTTTATCGTCTTTCTTGTCAATGATAATTCCTTCAGGAATACAAGGAAGAGGGAGAGGAGTTCGATCGCCTCGTGAAGACCCTGGAGACCCCCCAGACGCCCTCGGTGGTATTCAGACCCTATCCTGGGGTCTGCATCAAGACTAAAACAAACGCTGGGGATAAAATATTCGTCAATGTCTGTCACACAACGGAAATCCCGCCTCCCGACGACATTTCTGATGAGAGGTTCGATAAAATCCTGAGCGAAGACACTCCAGCATGGTGTATCCCCATGAGCATTGGGCATGAACATTTGGAGTCTGATAAAAGTGAGATCCATTCCTCTATAAAAATTTATTTCTGCACTAAACCATTAATGACTTCTCGCCTACACTGTTGGACATTTTTGTAAATTTATGTAGCGACTGCATTGGAATTTTTAATGTTATGAATTTGAAATCAATTTACAAGATCAAATCATTCATGGATATATGTATTTTTCTCTCTTAATTTACACGTTACAACATTGAATGAAGAGGAATTATGGCAAAGATCAATAAAAAGTGTTTTTTCTTTGTGATCAAAATAAATACACAAGACAAAAGTCATTTGAAATCTCATTCGAGTAATAGAAAAATCTTTTCATGTATTCCTGAAAATTAAAAAAATCTATTTTTCCCTTCAAAAGGTAAAAGGATTGCTATGGGCGGATTCTAATTATTGTTATGAAAAGGAAATGAAAAAAAAGCAAATATAAGATAATCGACTAGAAAGTGAATTTTATTCTTTTATATCGACTGGAACTTCGAATTACTTTTTTTTTCGTTAAATATCAAAGGGATATCAATATTTCAGCGAGAAGAAAGTCAAAGAAGAAAAAAAAAGTGGGTGGGAAGAACTAAAAAATTGATGAATTTTTTTCTTTTATGTCGACTGGAACTTCGAATTACTTTTTTTTCGTTAAATATCAAAGTAATATCAATATTTCAGCGAGAAGAAATTCAAAGAAGCAAAAAAAAAATGGGTGGGAAGAACTAAAACATTAATTTTTCAATGTCTCCGGAAATTTTTAAAATAGATTTTCTTTCGACCAATGAAAGAATATCCATAAATTCGATTTCTATCTTTGTTTTTTGATAGAATGAATGGAATAAATAACAAATTGAGAATTGGAGACTAAAAATTTTATCCGATTATTATTATGTTACGTCCGGATGTATAAATGTGTGTGTATATGTGACCGATGGTTTTTCGACAACTGAAAAAATAATTCTTTAAATGAATCCAATGATGCTTTCAAATGTTTTCCCAATGCCATCTTAACTGAGTTCGGCCATAAGATGGATTGCATCATCTGTTGTTAAAAAAATTCATTTTGAAACGAATATTCAGAGAAAAGTAAAAAAATTTAACGTTGGGGCAATGTTGACCGCCAACATTGGGATAATATTAGCTACCAACATTGGGACAATGTTAAATTAAATGAATCATTGAATTCAATTTGAAATACATCACCGTAGAAATTCCGTTCGGAGGCACATTGCCAATTTCATTTGATTAGTAAAATCATATTAACTGTGTTGTGACGAAAGCATTTTTTCACTCATTTTATTCATCTTGGGAATTCAACGCAGTTGAGTTTTTCATGCATTTTTGATAATTTCTCATGATTTTTGATATTTTTTCTGTTAAATATTACGATTATTCTCATTATTATTTTTGATTAAAGTTATTTTACTATGTTAAAAAAGAAAAATAATTTCTCTTTTCGTAATGAAAAATATTTCTTTTGATTTCTCTGGCCCAAGCGAACCTATTTCAGAGAATAAAATCATTTCTTTTATCTTGCTCTGGAGCCATTGAAATAATAGTAACTGACGAGGGGGCTACGCCCCTTGCTCGCTCCGCTCACTAACTCCCATATGACCCCCATGACCCTAATTGTGACCCTGATTTTGATCCCCATAACCCTTATTTGGACCTTTGGATCTTTCATTTCTGACGGTTAGTTTTTGACCCTTAACTGACCTTTGTAACCCTTAATCGGACCCTTTCGACCCTTAATCTGACCCTCGTGACCCTTAATCTGGCCTTTAATTTGGGAGTCTTAATTTCGAGTACCAAATTTTCATCACCAGAAGTCAATTTGGATTTTTATAATATAGAGAGAAATAATCATATTTCCAGGTGGTGCCAAATGTCCAACCTACGACGTCGCCATAAACACAAAATTCTTCGACAAATGCCAGGAAAAAAAACACTTCTTCGCCTTCGCAGTCCTCACGATTCTCTCAGCAATCGGAGAAAAGTACGACAAAGTTGTTGATTCAGAGAGTTACGTTGTTCTGAAGAATCGAAAGGTCGTGGGGAAGCTGCAGGATCACAGGGTGGCGAAACGACAACCGAAGTACTCGTCGGAGAGTTCAGCACCGAAGCCCCTGATCCAAGAAGTCTCTGCGAAAAAATCTTCCAAGTCCAAGGATAAACAACCGCTGATTGCGAGTGTGGTTTCTGCTGACACTTCTCAGTATGTGATTTTCAAAAAACCGGGGAAGGGGGAAACTGAAAAATTGATCGGATATTTCAAAATCCCCCATCAGGTAAAGCCCATCCAGAATAATCTATTATATTTGAAAAATAATCGCTTGGTTCAATTCGAAAGGAAAATAAATAAAATTCCAATTGAAATCTGTTGATTAACATCTTTATGTTTCTGGGGGTTGAGAAAACTTGAGAAGAATCTCCTAAAGGGCTTTCTGAGTTTCCTCAAATTTTTTCACTCTTTATCAACCTTCTAAATAGCTTTTAGCCGTGAAATTTTGATATTTTCCAAGTCCTTTAAATATTTGCAAAATAATCTATTGATTTAGATCAATGAAAAAATAAAATTTCGAATTAAAATCTGTTAATTAACATTTTTCATTTCTAGGGGTTCAAAAAACTTGAAGAAGACCTTTCGAAGGACTTTCTGAGCCTTCAAAGTTTTCTCATCCTCTAGACAAACGCTATCGCGTCAAAAGACCTAACTTCCAATTTCCACCTTGTATTCTTAATTATTATAAACAAATTCTTCACTAGAAATTCTTTCGATACTTCACGGTATCTTAGTTTTCTCAAATTTTCTCACTCTTTAATAATCTTTTAATTAGCTTGTACGCATGAAATTTTCATATTTTCAAAGTCCTTTAAATATTTTCATAATAATCTGTTGATTTAGATCGATTAGAAAATAAAATTCAGAGTTAAAATCTGTTAATTGACATTTTTACATTTTTAGAGGTTCAGAAAATATGAGGAGAACCTCTTGAAGGACTTTTTGTGTTTTCAGTTTTCTCAACCTCTGGAGAACAGCTATCCAAGCAAATGAAAAAACTAAATCCCAATTTTCATCTCGTATATAATAATAATAATTGTAAGGAAATACTTGAGTAAGACTAGGGTGTACTATCTTTCGAACGTTATCTCGATGTTTTTTTTCATCTTTCGTCAACTGAAATTGTCAATTGAGTCCTGCATCATGCAGAAGTTTTGAAAAATTATGAACAAATAATAAAAAAAAAGTAGAAGAAATCCTTAATTTTTTCAAAGAGCATTTTCAATTTATATTCAGAATAAGTTGAATAACAAGAAATTGAAAGATGTATCTGATTTACGGTGACAAATGGCGGCCTGTCACCCAATATCATGCAGGGGGAAGACTGATTTCGTAAATCTTTTCTCACACTGCACAGAGACATTTATTATGGAAAAGGCTCTTTGAAAAAAGTTGAAATATTTTGGAGAATTTTTTAATCACATAAAAATGGTAGATGACTACATACCACTGTTTTGATAATTGAGATACCTAGCTGTCACTTCCCATGAGGAGTTATTGTTTTGTTATCCACCATGGAAAGTGACAGCTAATAGATAATTTGCCACAGCGAAGCAGATATTTGTAATTTCCACTTTTTTCAACTTATTCTATCTCAATTAAAAACGCTCTTTGAAAAAGTTCAGAAGTTTTTCTATTTTTTTTATCATTCTCACTCAATTGACAATTTTGGATTACGAAAGATGAAAAAAAATCCAGATAACATTCGAAAGATAGTACACCCGAGCCTTAAATTTTTTTTTTTCTTTCATACAGCGAAAGATCTCAATTTTCTCACTCTTCATAAATCCTCGTAATGCTTTTCTTGAGCATGAAATTGTCATTTTTTAAAAATTCGTTTCAGTGTTCTAAAAATGATCTTCGAGCAGACATTGGTCAAGACAGGATTGTAATCGACGCAGCCTCCCATAATTACCTCGTCGACGTCTTCGTTCCGTTCTCAATCGACCAAAGTTCAACCACAGCCTCTCTGGACGCAGATCTCAACGTAAGAAAATTCAAATCTTCCCATGATGATTAATGAACCATCAGTAATTACTGGTAATCGAATGTTACGAAACAACGATGTTTGTTAATTAATTTATTCATTATCTCTAGATACTGCGATTGGATATGCCAGTGACATCGACGTGAGCATGACATTGAGGTAATTCCCAATAATTAAAAATAATTAATTACTAGTGACGTTGTGCGTACTCTAATGACTAATTATTGAATGCCCTAGGCCTGAATGGAGCGCATTTGCTGCGATATCAAAAGAACACTTGAGAATACCTCAATTTACATTAGTGATGTTTTTTTTATGTCTTTATGTTATAAAAGTGAAAATCATAGACCTTTTCATTCTGAGAATTACGGGATGATTTTGCAGAATTTTTATTATAAATAACTACAGGGCAATTTATTAATAGGGAACTTGGATGAAGCTTAATTCTTTCTAATTCCCCTATTCACACATTGTCCATAATATATGGATTTAACGGCAAAAAATTATGGAGAAATATTGTCTGTATGTTTTATAATGAATTAAAAATCATTCGTTTTCGCGACTAATTTTTCGGTCATGCCGTCACGAAGACGGTTAGATAACGCTTCATTGGCCGAGTGTGAAGAGAGTGGGGTGTTGCCGTCGTCCATTGGCCGAGGCGCACTTCAAGATTGGGTTAGGTCGGTTCGAGCCGTTCTGTGATTGGTCCAGCGCTCGACTGTCTATGTGACGTCATTAGCCATTCCAAAGCATTTGAAATCTTGGATTTTCAACAATTAATGACTAATTAATGAACAATATTTTAAACGCTTATGAATGAAAAATGAATTATTCAGGTCATAAACTTGAGATTAGAAATTGAAAAAAAATTATGCAAGTTCCCCATTGTCTTGGGAGTTATGGCTCAAATGTATACCATCATGAAGATTAACATTTATCAGAATTTTTCAGTATTATCCAAAAGATTTCAAATGATGTTGGAGAAAACGAATTTAATAGAGTGAAAATAATTACGAACCGACCAGAATTTTTCATTATTTTTTCTTAGATTTTCAGTTTGATGAACGTAATAAATATTTCGTCCATTTTTTCGTATTAAAAAACGAAAATAATTACGACCAACCGAAAAGACTTTAATAGTAGTAAGCTGTCTCTCCTTCGAGATCATTTGGAGATTTAACAACAGTGGAGACGAGCCACAGCAAATTATTTATTATTCAGTTCAGTTTGATGGGTGTAATAAGCATTTCCCCTAGATTTCTTAGATGAAAAAGTCTATTCCGTAGCAGAAAGATGAGTTCAAAATTCATTTTCTTGAGGACTCTCAATAGTCTGTTCATCTTTGAAGTTTTCAAACGAATTTCCTACTATAAGTTATAGCCTAAACCGATGTTATGGCTCGGATTTAATCAATTGCGTTATTGTTGAATAGCTGGACATCCCTTAAAGGTGAAAAAAATCTTTAAATCTTCAGTTCACAATTCATTTTCTAAGGGGTTGCAAAAGCTTACTTATGTCTCAAGTTTTCTGAGCCATTTTGTACACAAAGTTATGGCCCAGATTTAATCAATTGCGTTATTGTTGAATATGTGAACATCTAGCATCGTCAGCTTGACATTTGCCATGTACAACTGGAGTATGATGACCAAGTGATGAAATATAAACAATTACTGTATTATGTGAGGAGTCATTCAGATATGCACAGGTCAGACTTGAATTGGATTCCAATGCGTACAAAAGTCATAACTGATTGTGATCAGTCAGATGGGAGTTATTACAACTGCGGAATAAAGTTTTGTATTTTTGATACGTAAGGAGAGTCCTCTCTTTTATCTCGGCATTATTAGTTTTCTTGCTTATATGATCGTAGATTAATGAAAATGTTCAAGAGCTTTTTGTGGCTAATAAAATTTTCAACAAAAAAGGTTGCTTGACATTCTTTCCCAGAACCACTTTTATGAAGAAAATTCCGTAATTCCCAAAACGATTATGAGACAAATATCAGCAAAAATTATAAAATAACCCGAAAATGGTTTTGATCGCATCTACTCTTCACTACTTCACTTGCAACTCATCAGTTTAACAATAACTTATCAACAAAACGTAACAAAATATATTTTATATAACAAAAAAACGTTTTTGTTATGTCAAATTTCCTAAATAATTTCCAATCTCTTCTCGTAGAAGAAAAAAAATCATTTTTCCAGTGCGAGAAAATCAATTTCTTCACTAGTTCAATTAACTTAAATCAAATTGAGTTGTATTATCATTTTACATTTCTGTGTAAAATGTGGGTCTCTCGATCCCCATGATCGTGAAGACATTTGGCAGAAGATAAACAGTGTTGAAACCAATCATAAAACAACTAATGTACTTGCAGAATAAATCAACAAGTACTTTGTCCTTGTTCTCGTGTGAATTTTCACTGTTCATGAGGTCCTTGGAGTTTACTCTGAGTATGGCACAGATTGTTGTGTAGCCTAGGAACTTGGTGATGGCTTTTGTGGCGAGAACGCAGCAAAAACCGAGGACTGTACGTAATATCGTACATCCTAACATCGTCCATGTTGGCCATATTATGCTGTAGGGAGGTGGAACGAGGACGGGCTGCATTGCTCCAGTCTTGAAGTTAATTAGAGCAGCTAAATGGACACCAGTTGTCACTGATACTACCATTGCTGTGTCACCCCTGCAGACAATTTTTTTTCAATTATTTTGAAAATATCTCGGAGACAAGACGATTGAGACAAAAAAGTCCTTGCGAATTTTCTTATAGATCAATTGTTTAAGGGATGGATAGATAATGAGGTATAAATTTTTAATGGGTAAAAGCTCTGGCTTGCCTGAATTTATGGACCTGATTTTCAGTTGAACCAAATGTTGAGTTAAGGCCCGGGTGTACTATCTTTCGAATGTTATCTGGATTTTTTTTATCTTTCGTAATCGAAAATTGTCAATTGAGTGGTACATCGTATAGAAATTCCGAAAAATTATGATAGAATGATAAAAAAAAATAGAAAAAATTCTGAACTTTTTCAAAGAGCGTTTTTAATTGAGATTCAGAATGAGTTGAAAAAAGTGGAAATTACAAATATCTGATTCGCTGTGGCAAATTATCTATTAGCTGTCATTTTCCATGGTGGATAACAAAACACTAACTCCTCATGGGAAGTGACAGTTAGGTATCTCAATTTTCAAAACAGTGGTATATAATCATCTGCCATTTTTATGTGATAAAAGTGTGATTAAAAAATTCTCCAAAATATTACAACTTTGTTCAAAGAGGCTTTTCCGTAATAAATGTCTCTGTGCAGTGTGGGAAAAAATTTACGAAATTAGTCTTCCCCCTGCATGAAATTGGGTAACAGGCCGCCATTTGTCACCCTAAATCAAATTATTCTGTATATAAATTAAAAATGCTCTTTGAAAAACTTAAGAATTTCTTCTACTTTTTTTTTGATTATTCATTCATAATTTTTCAAAACTTCTGCATGATGCAGGATTCAATTGACAATTTCAGATGACGAAAGATGAAAAAAAACATCGAGATAACGTTCGAAAGATAGTACACCCGGGCCTTAAGATGCAATTTGATGTACATGGCGCATAACGAAAGATGGAAAATGTTAGGTGAGAGTTCTGGATTATTTGAATTCATGAAATCATGAGATTTTCAATTGAATCAGAGTGCCAAGTAGGCTGATTGTGGTAAGGAGAACTACTCTGGGGTAAATCAAATTGTCAGGGTGTCCCGCTAAATTAGGAAAATCTGGAAACCGGAAATCGTCAGGGTATTTGATCCGTCTGGAAAAATCGGGGAATTAGCGAAAGTTTTTTCTAGAAATGTCAAAACTCAAAATTTGTTTCCCCCACATGCATACATTTTTGTTTTTTTTTGTTGAAGAGGGGGGGGGGGAAGCGGGTGAAAGATGTGGTCCAAAAAGGATTTTCAAGGTGAAATCAGAAGATAACGTTTCATTTTGAAATATAAGGCAGAAGGACTGCGTTGGGTATTTTTACGATTTTTTGATACGGCACATCAGAAAAAAAATAAAATTCTGATTACTTCAGTAATCTATAACGGTGTAGTTTTCAATACCATATTAATAGTTAATAAAGGAAATCATACTTTAACTATCTGTCCATTAAAAAATGGAGAAAAAAGCATTTTTATTACCTTGTTATTACATAATGGTAATGAATCACATATTGTAATAAAAAGTATGTTTCGTTTGACCCCCATGATCATTTTGTTCCATTCTTCCATTGGACTCTTATGAACGTTTTCTATAGTGAGGGCATAGAATAAGTTTGGTCTGGAAAACTGGGAAAAGTCAGGGAATTTCGAAGAAACTTTTCGCTGGATATCGTGCAAATGTGGAGTTGAGATGGAATTTCATGCACATGAGCATAACGGAAGCTAGAAAAACGTTGGGTGAGAGCTCTGACTTGCTTGAATTTATGAAACCATGAGATTTTCAATTGAAATAGAGTACCAAGTAGGTAACTGCGATAAACAGAACTACTATGGAATGAATCAAACGTTGAGTTAAGATGCAAATTGATGCACGTGGAGTGTATCAAAGTGGAAGAAATGTTTAACTCCATCGATACTGCCCTTTCCTTTACAGTAATATCTAATTTTCTGTTTCTATTCAGAATTTTCTTTCTTAAAAATTTTCATTAGACTTCATAAAATAAAAAAAATGAAAAAAATAATAATAATAATAAAATTGGGTGTTCGTCCTACTTCATATAAAATACATCATTATAAAATGATTTTTGTGGACTCTCAATTTCTGTTCGTCTGTGCATAGTCTCTAATAAGCTAAATGATAATAACTTCCTCATGATCTTCTTCATAACGAAAATGCATTCCCAATTTTATTCTTTGGACTCTAGCAAACATTTCAAGAAAGTCTAAATCGGATGAAAATTATGGTCAAAGACGCATTTCGTATATAATAGTATTTTTCCGGGCTGCTGCGATGGGGTCGCAGGGGTCGCCTTCGGCTCGGACGCCAACGCCCGGGACAAGATTTTTTTGTAGTGATTTTCAAGTTTTCGAGTTTGGGAAGTCTGCAATACCAGTTCCCAGACGAGAAATCGTGAGAAGCAGTACAGAAAAAACATTTTTTCCACCCTTTGATTTGCCTCATCATGTATCAAGAGTCTGTTCAATTTCTCCATGTCTTCACTTGATAGATTCAAATGAAATAACATCAGTTTACCTAGTCGGTGTCCACCTATCACTAGTAGGATAATAAATAATAGTGGCAACACTAATGACAAACAGTACGAATAGGGCTGTCTCATTAGTAACTAGATAGTGATCCGTAAAATCGACAATTGGCACTAGTGGGATCATCATCATTCCGGCCAGTCCAAGTCCAGCGAATATATCCAGGACTGTGTGCATCCCCAAGTACAACCTGCTGAGGCAGATCAACGAGCACCTGAAACGATAAATGTGCACACTGATAAGAATCTATCTTTAGTCGAGTCACAAATTTAGAGTGATAACGAATTGCTGACGTGAGAATGAATGAAAACAAACCCGTCAATGATGGAGAGTGGTAAAATCGATTCCAGATGCATCTTTACGGGAAATCATTTAGAAATGGTTTAAAAATTTTCGACTTATTAGCCCCTCGCGTACGGGGCCTTTCTGTTACAAACCCTGACGTGTGCTTAATATCACTGAGATGCGATAAATTCTAGTACTTGAAAAATTATAAAACGCATTAAAAATTGAAGCTACACTATCCAGCTTTGGAATGGCATTGGCGGAATTAGATTATCTGTCACAGTTTTGGAATTATCCAGTTTTAAACAGAATCATGCGTTTTTGCTTGGGGTCCATATATGTATATGGACCCCGTCCTTGAAGGGTTAATTAGTTTTTTTCCTTTTATTTTGAACACAAATATAATTATTTCAGTAGTGAAGCGATAAAACGGTTTAAGTCGATTTGGACTATTGGTCAGTTTTCAATTAATATCCCGAAATCTAAGGGAGTTAGCAAAATGTTTGTCATGATCTAAGTCGACTTAAGGGGATACGTCGGCGAAATTTAAATATCTTCACTGGGCCTTGGGACTCGCGGACCCCATCGATTTTGCCCCGTGTAACCACGAAAAACTCCATTTTTGCTGTTTTTATTACCTTCAAAATACTCCTTGCGCCGTAGTTTTCATACGATTTCAGCTTTGTTTTAAATGTTCATTCCACTCCAAACAATAAAATTACGCATCCGCTTCATTTTATTCACAATAGATCATGAATAAATGAATTTTGAATTTCATAAATTTTCTTTTGAACCCGCCTTTTTGCTTTAATCTGCCATTTTTTTGTTAATAATAAAAATTAGAATACGGATGAGTAAAATGTTCAATTACTAAAATCAATGAATTTTTAGTCCTACTCTAAAGATGCAACAAATTTATGAAATTTCAAAGTCTTTTATTCATAAACTATTGCGAATAAAGTAAAACGGATGCTTAACTTTATTCTTTCAAGTGTAACGAACAGTTTTATAAAAACAGCTAAAATCGTGTGAAAATTACGGCGCAAGGAGCATTTTTAAGATTAATTAATTAACAGCAGCAAAAATGATGTTTTTCGCCATTTTCTCTAGTTATTCCCATATTCCGTCATATATCACAAACTGTTCAATGAGCCCCAAGGCCCAGTGAAGAATTTCAAATTTCACCGACGTATCCCTTTCAGGTCTGAGTGGATTATCTTTCGAATGTTATCTCGATTGTTTTTCCATCTTCATAATGTAAAATATATCATAATTTCTATTGGATTTTACATCACACAAGAGTCCCTGAAAGGGATGATTGTACAACCAAAAAAAATATTAAAAAACTGAACATTTTCAGAGTGTTTTTAATAAAGATTAAGAAGTAAGTCCGATAGAGAGGAAATAGTCAATCGAAAATTTATCATGGTTACTGACAATCTCACAGCCATTGACTACTGTGACAAATGACGATTTAACAGCCATTAAATTCATAAAATTTTTAATTTGCAATTTCCTCCCTATTGGGTTTATTTTCCAATATTATTCAAAAACGCTCTTTGAAAATGTTCAGCTTTTTTTCAACGTTTTTTTGATTATACAATCATTGTTTTTGAAGACTCCAGGGCTATGTAAAACTGAATAGCAATTGGAGACCATTTCAGATTATCAAAATAGAAAAAACACCTGGGCCTTAAACCGTTTTACCGCTTGGCTACTGATTTTTATTCCGCGAATGGTTTTTACGGTAAAATGGCCAATCCTGCAATTTTCTTCCCTCTCCCATCTTGCCTATTGTCGTTTTGAGGAAAAAATGATTAAAATTATTCAATGAATAAAAAAATTGAGGCATTTCATTAAAAATGAAACAAAAGTGATGATCATTCAATGAATGAACCCCAAAAATACCCACCACAGCACAGCGACGACGACTGCCGAGCAGATAGAATAGACATATCGGTTCATAGTGAAGAGAATGATCCCAAAAGGAATGGCGACACCAACCATAGCATGAGTGGAGGGCATTCCGTATTCCTGTGACCATTTGCTCTGGAGTCTGACAGCTGGAGGGCAGGCAGGACGTGGCCAGCACAGAATGTCCTTCAGGGCCTGTCCAACGGTCATAACAATTGACCAGACTAGGATTATTCTCCTCCCAACTGCCCCGTCAATGTTCCAGAACCAAAAGGGAATGAACGAGCAGTAGAACACCTCGTCCCCCAGCTCAGTACCAAAGAGGAACAAGTAGTACCAGAAGTAATTGTTTACTGGAATTCGTCTCTCAATTGGGGATTTCTCCGCTGGGTCAAGTGATTCTTCACTCGCGTGCACAATTCGTTTACCATTTTCATGGACTGTTCCGTTCTTCTCGATTATTCTCGATTGATCGTCGGTTTGTGGGGGGGATGGGGAGGATTTCTCGTGGGTGATGTCTACGCCGAAGAACTGCTGGATTCTCGCCACAAGGTGAGGGTCCTTCAGATCTTCTATCGTTTCTCTCCACATTTTCTTGGTTTTCAATTTTTCTTATTGAAAGTTTAGTTCGTGAGGGGTTGATTCACGAGCATGGTTAAGGGGATGGGTTCCTGGGGAGAAAGTAATTGTTTTTATCATGAGTGAAGAGAATTGATTAATTGGGAAGTGAGAAAATAACGCAGAATAGTATATTTCGTTACTTGTGCATAAAGTGATATGGGATTTTGCGCAGCGTGCGTAAAATTCCATTTTCCACACATTGTAATGAAAGATGGGGTTCGACACTCGTGGGAAATAGTATAATTCGATACGAGAAAAGCGGAATTTTCAGGAGTATGAAGTTACCAATCACATCAGCTGAAAGTTTCCGTCTCACATGTGTCGAACAATATTTTTCATCACGCTGTGACGAAAAGTGAACTTTTCGGCACGCTCCGCGTGCCTAAAAGTCCAATTTCCGCCACATTGTCATGAAAAATATTGTTCGTAACTCACCTTCGGCTCGTGATATAAACCTCCCACTCGCCAAAAAACACTTTTTTGCACTCGTTACGAAATATACTATTTTGACAGTGATGTTACGTTCAGCGAGTTCTAAACTGTACCTTTTTTCGTTTACAAGTAAACGAAAAAACTTTTTCTAGCTCATATGAAATTCATATTCGCCAGGAAAGTTTTTTTCATCACGCTGTGCGAAAAAGTAACTTTTCCGTACTGATCTTCACTTTTCCTCGCCCGGGGATTGGTATTCACCCTTCCCCAAACTCGTAAAATTGAAAATCACTACGGAAAAATATCGTTCACGCCTAGTGCCATGGGGTTTTTTTATTCGCGCGGTTGGCGAGTCCTCGCCTTCGTCTCGGACGCCAACTCCACGCGAGTAAAAAACCCCATGGCACTCGCCCTGAAATATACTATTTTAGTCGCGCTTCGCGTGCCTAAAACGTCCCTTCTCCACACATTGTAACGAAAAATATCGTTCGATACTCACGGGAAAAGTGTTTTTTGTCTCGTGTGATCATATCACTCGCCTTCGACTCGTGTTATAACCCTGCCACGAGCCAAAAAACAAAAAACACTTTTCCGCACTCGTATCGAAATATACTATTTCAGCCTAATGACGAAATGTGCTCTTAGTTTACCGATACAACGAAAACGAAAACGCATATTTCGGTACGAGGTGAACGTAGCAGCAGTATCAAAAAGTGTCAAACCGCTCTTTCATCACCCTGTCCGCAAAACGTTGTTTTACGGACATCTCGTGAAAATTATATTCATCACTCGGTTGAAAACAACTTGTTGTCATTGCGGCCGTAAGGCAGCGTTTTCACGGACGTTACACATCCGTGAATCGCTGCTTGCAGCCGTTCTGACAAAAAATATTGTTTGTCATACGGCCTAAAAAAACTTTTCTAGCTCATATGATTGCAAACTCATATTCACTAGAAAAGTTTTTTTCGACCTAATGACTAAATATACTATTTCGACCTTGCGACAAAAGTAGTTCTTTCGGCTTTATGACGAAATAGTATATTGTGTTACTAGTGCGTAAAGTTCCACTTTTTGCACCCAAGTGTAACACATCCTATTTTTTGTGATACCTGCCGAGTTCACTGTTCGGAATGGTAGCGGGGGTAAAGCGGTTGGTTTTGTGCATGAGTGCGTAAAGCCCAAGAGCGTGCATAAAGTTCGTTTCGAGTCCGTAAAGCGAAGCACGAGATAGTATATTTCGCGTCTAGTGCCACTGGGTAGTCGAGTGCCTCGCCTTTGGCTCGGCGTGCCAACCTCACACTCGTCGAAAATCCCTGTGGCACTAGGCGCGAACGATATTTTTCAGGCCGGAAATAGTATTTTTCCGGCCTGTTGCGATGGGGTTTTTTACTCGTGTGGTTGGCCACTCCTCGCCTACGGCTCGGGGGCCAACGCCACACGAGGAAAAAAACCCCATCGCAACAGCCTAGGAACAATATTTTTCTGTAGTGATTTTCAAGTTTTCGAGTTTGGTAAGTATGTAATACCAATTTCCAGACGAAAAATCGTGAGAAGCAGTACAGAAAAATACTATTTCCACAGTGACTTTCACTTTTGCCAATTTGCAGAAGGGTCAATACCAATCCCCGGACTGGGAAAAGTGACGGTCAGTATGGAAAATTCACGGTACGCATGCTCGTGAACTTTACTCACGCCGTGCGAAAAATAACCGCTTTACACACACTAAACCGTTTCGAAAAGTGCACTTTTTAGGCAAGTATCACAAAAATAGCTATTACGCACTCGTATTAAAATATACTATTTTTTATGGTAAAGAGAACAGAATTATTTCGGTAATAAGTGATTTTAGGGGAAATGACTCTCAGTATCGCTGTTAACAGTTTTTGGCGGGAATTTCTGTTACACTTCTTGGAAGTCTTTATCAAATGACAGTGAAGCTTCAGGGAATTTCGACACGGATAATTCACCTATTGATAAAAAAATCAATGGAAACTGTAAATTTTAGTTCAAATATTTTATCAGAATTCATAGAAAGCAAGAAAATTCGGGTCAATGTATTCTTGAATTTTCTTTTAATTGAAATGTTTTGGTAGTTTGATACTAAATATTCATATTTTGATTGAAAATTGGAGTAAATTGAGGAATTTTCGTTTTCCTGTTGACCAAAAATTTTGATTTCCACTGATCTCTCAGTGAAATTTCAAATTGCATGATTTTATTTTCATTTTTTTTTTATTTGGAGAGAAGCGATTTTCAAGAAAACACATCGAAAGACATGTTTCATGCAAAATTTCCATAGTTAGAGAAAATGTCTTGCAAAATTGTCCTTCATTCGCGTCATGAATACATAATCGAAATCTAATAAATCAACAATTCCGTAGAAGGCCTGAGTTATTCCGCAAATATCCCCAAAAGGAAGGGGTTTAGAAGAAAACGTTGGAGATCTTTTCCGTAGAGAATTCCCTCCTCTCCAAAAAAGGCCTCTTGCCATTCCCCCTAGCCCACCCACTCCCGCGATACCCCCCAAAAACGACAGATGAAATTTCCCTAATCTCATCTGTAAAATCAATCACCAACGCTCTGCTAATTGTTATTTCACTGGATCCTTACCTCATGTCTGGCTCCTCACTGACTTCAGAATTTCCCCGTGTCACCTGAAAAACAACACCACTGAAAATCTGCGCATCTCCTAGTCTAATCTCCGACCGAAAACGGCAATTCCACCGAATCTCGATTTTCTTCCCACAAAAGGACGGAATAAATCAAATTAATCTGACGGATTGACGTGTGAGATGAACGAAAAAATTGTCACGAGTGATACATACAACTGTAGGCGCGTACCTCACGCCTCGCAGTGCGGTTTGCACTTTGTCTCGAGTCCATGCTCGATAAATGTTTCCGTCTCACTCACGGTTTTTGCCGCATTAGCCATGGATTAATGATTAATAGTGGAGTTGTTGATACGATTGTTAGAAGAGTGTTGGGGGTGGTTGCAATTTTTTTTGTGAAGGGAGGAACAAGTGGAGATTGTTGGATACAGATGTCACCAATGGCTTGTTCTGCTGACGAAGATGATGATCATCCTTTATAAATTAAAAATAAATAGTTTACATTTTTTTCATGAATAAGTTCATCTTCATTTTACTACTAATTGAGTAGTAGGTGAAGGGATATTGGAGAAACAAATTACGACGTTGATCAAATTGTCATAATACGACATTTCCCTGAAACATTTCAGCCTTATCAGGCTCTTGACATTGTCGCGTAAACCACTAGTTACCATATAGAGTCCCTATGACTACCATTATTTTATAAATCCAATATTATTTTTAAGCTAGTTGAAATATTCCCACGGTTTTGGATACAAGAAAATATAGAATTTTGGAAAGTAAGTTCGAAAAACTCGTAAACAGGAAACGAGTAATAAATCTAAAGAGTCTCTCGACGTAGCTCTGGCCATCCAAAAATAAAAGATCCTTTGTATTGTTTTTTTTATATAGAGTTTTCGAGTGCAATTCTAGCTTGACATTAAACCGTTCGAGTCGTAAAACCTTTTCCTGGAGACAGTTTATTTTCCCCGGGTGAAATTCAAGCATTTTCTGTCTCTCTCGAAAAACCACATGTAAGGCCCTTTGTTCAAGTCACGTAGACTCGAGAGTTGGGGCTGGGCCAGCTCGAGCGATCGCGGGGGTGTTAGACCAACACTGTTCACTGGATTCAAGGCCACGATTGGTCCCCTACTCTTTTCTGTGGGATGAGCCCTTCGTCTTCGACACTTAGACTAATTTTTAGAGTGAGAGTAAGGGCAGATCCACCCCATACGTGGATACGAGAAGTTCGAGAGAAATTGTTATCGTCTTCTCAAGTTTTAAAAACCCAAAGTGTTGTTGTAAAATATCTTCTAAGTTTTGAAAAGTAAATATAAACGTTTCGATTGGATTATCTAATTAAATTGGTGTTCGTGTTCAATTATTTTTATTCGAAAATTCCCGCACTTGTGCAGCAGAGTGCTTTAGCGCTCCACGGGCATTGGACCTGCCATCTGTTCAACGGAGAACCAGCTTGGAACGTAACAACATAATCAACTTATTACCCAGATAGCACAGCGTACTAATCGTTTTAGAGCGGTATGACGTACCAGTATTATACTAATTACATCGTCTACCACCAGATGGAAGCGTATCTCTCTACGAAAATAATACACTGGTAGATACCAGTACGTCGTACTGTCAGTAACACCAAATTCAAGGATCGAATGCGAGAATAATGTTAGTATGATACCAGTACGCTGTACTGGTATGAACTGGTACGGTGTACAAGTATCCAGTACGAATATAGTACTCGTATAATACAAGTACGCCGTACTCGATGGATTTTCAGGCTGAAGTATTAATGTATGGAAAAAAATGAATTAATGAATGAAAAAAATAAACATGATTAGTGAGTTAGAAAACCGCTCCGGAAGCCTAGAATTTATAGTAAGGAAATCGGAAATTGAACATATATATTGCCCATATATAATGCCTGATTATTTTATCAAGTTATTATCGATTTCACGTATGAAAAAATTCAATAGAAAGCCTAGTGAATTCGCTGGAAAATTCTATTAAAATTCCATAGGAGTTCTATGAGGTTTCTATAGTATTTCTATTGGAATTCTATTGGAAAATTCTATTCGTTTTTTGCGGTGATTCTATTGCATATTTCATAGGAAAAACTCAATAGATTTCGAATTTCTATTTGAACTTTTCTCTAAGTTTTTTCTATCGAAATTATTGGGCATGAATTTTCCAATTTTTTTCCACTCAGTTTCTGTAATGCAAAACAAAACAAAATACAGCGTAAAAAACTTGGAAAATGTGTGCCCAATAATTTTAATAGACAAAATGTCAAGAGAAAAATTCAAACAGAAATTCTTAATCTTTTGAGTTTTTCCTGTGAAATATGCAACAGAATCAGCGCAAAAAACGGATAGAATTTTGCAATAGTATTCAAATAGAGATCCTGTAGAAACTCCATAGAATCTCTATAGAATTCCAATAGAATTTCCCAGCTAATTCGCTAGGTTTTCTATTGAATTTATCATACGTGTTCTTTGGCAAATTTTCCTTTTTTTCGCCGCGATTGTTTGACTTGTATTGGATAAATGGAAAAAAATGAGTGATATTTGTTTTTATGTGAAAAATGGTAATTTTTCTATATGTATTCTTTTGGGATCCTTTAAAGTAAAATTCTTGAGCAACACTTTTCCAGTTTTTGACCTGGTTTCTCAATTGCGAATTGGAAAAAAGTGGGAAAACTCATACCTGATAATTATCATTGAAAAAATTGTAACAGGATAAGTTATATATGAGAATCACAATTCATTTAGTTATTCATATAGAATAATCAAACTCTATTTACTTTTCTTCTATCAAATATATAAATTGGAATCGCTAAACACCGGAAATTTGAAATGGCTTAAACTGGACTTTCCATATGATTATCATAATTATAATAGATTCCCAATTGAATTTTCGAGCGAATGCGTCGGATTTTACATTGCATTATTCAATTACTTGATTTGATGGAACGACTCTTTTTAATTACGAATATCCCGCGCCTGCAACCCATGACTGGCGCCGAAATAACAATCATGGCGTCCACGTAACTTCCTTCTTTTCCGAGCATTCCAGTGAGCCAGACGTGTGTTAATTTGTTCTGTTTTGGAAGTTTTTTGGACAGAAGTTCTTATTTTCAGACGTAGTGAAATAGTGGGAGGAAAGAGGAATCTTCAAAGTCTATTTACAGGTAAGTTTCATTGTTCATTAAGTCCTAAAAGTCTTCATTGTCGGTGGGCGACCGAGAAACTCCTTGTAACCGTCCTCGACAGATCAGTGATTTATTAACAATTTAAGTATTATAATCAGTGTTTTTGATCGATTTCATCATCTCATTCAATCCTCTAACGAATAACTCATGATTTTTGCTCATTTGTTGTGTTCAGGTACCAATTAATTCTCATTTTGTTGATGTAAACAAATACCGGCAACTGTCATAGAATCTCAACGACATTTTTGTGGTGAAATATTTACATATTCATATTAAAACAAATAATGCATCTTAATTTACGAGGATATTGTTCATTAGGGCCGGGAAATAATCGATTTCGTTATGTGTAATGCTGGTAATTAGTCATGAGGTTAGGAACAACGACATGAGACATTGGCTGCAGGCAGGTCTGTCAGGAAGAATGGACACACATGAAAACCTTTAGTAGAAAACCTAGCGAATTCGCTAGAAAACCTATTGAAATTCTATAGGAATTCTATAGGATCCCTATTGGAATTCTATTGGAAAATTCTATTCGTTTTTTTTGCGCTGATTCTATTGCATATTTCATAGGCAAAACCCCACAGATTTTGAATTTCTGTTGGAATTTATGTCTTGAGATTATTTCTATTACAATTATTGGGCACAGATTTTCCAAGCTTTTTCCGCTCTATTTTGTTTTGAGAAAATTGATGCCCAATAATTTTAATGAAAAAATCTCAAGAGAAAAATTCAAACAGGAATTCGAAATCTATTGAGTTTTTCCTAGTAAATGTGCAATAGAATCAGCGCAAAAAACGAATAGAATGTTCCAATAGAATTCCAATAGAGACCCTATAGAAACCCCATAGAATTCCTATGGAATTCAATAGAATTCTCTATCGAATTCGCTAGGCTTTCCATTGAATTTTTTCATACGTGCGAACTAGGGGTAAAATAAAAATGAATAGAGTAATTATTCTAGTCGATTTGTGCGGGAATTGTATTCACTAATTGAATGGTCAATTAGATGTTTCTATGGAGAGATTTTTCGGATTGCAAAATTCACTACGGGCTGGGGAGAAAACGATCAGTTTACTTCCGGGTGGATTTTTGATAACTATCTTCAAATTTAGGGGCTGTAGGGGAAATATTGTAAAGACCTTTTTTGTAGAGCAAAATGAACACTATGAGAAATGTCTTTATAAAAATTCTGCCATCTCCTTTTGATCTCGGAGTATTTCGAAAAAATTCACTGGAAGCGACGAAATGTTCCAAATAGCATGGGCCAGACAGTATGAATTTGCAATAATCATGACATCATGAACAACCAAACATCGACAGATCGACAGACACATCATCATAGTGGACATAAACTTCAAGTGAGGCTAAGTTTATGTCCACTTTCGTCGAAGTCTTGGTGAAAACGTGAAAATGATCTGAACTTACGCAGCACTAGACTTAAACTAAGCCGGACTTTGAGTCCCGGTGTAAATGGCCGCACTCTCTTAATACAACTCTCTTTTCCGACAGATTTTGGACTGCTGACGAGGGACGAAATATCGGAAGGAAACTTCAGAGACTTCATCCGAGCTCAAAGATCATACTATTACCTTAATTTTTGTTGTCAATAACAAATCACGAGCTCAGATTTATAATCAAACACATTCTCTTTTCTATCTTTTCCCGGTACTTCCGACGGAATCTATTCTTTTTGTCACTGCTTCTTATCCAGGTTGTAATGTATCGACTCAGTGTTAAGCGTACTCGGAAGCCTGAACATAAGCTCAGTCGTGAATACCGTCGTCGGCTGTACAAACTAGAAGAAGCAGCGCGTCGTGAACGTGTACTTTCTCATGTGCACGGGTATCTAACCGTTTCTAATTCAATTGCTCCGGATCCATCCACTTCCATAGCTGATTCATCGCGTCAAGATGTCGACATGGATGAAAACGCAGAGAATGAACTGCATATTCGTCCACACGCACAAAACCCGCCAGAAGATTTGAACGTCGAACACGCGCTAAATCCCTTGAACGATTTGAATTTCCCGAACGCGCCGGATGCGCCAAATGATACTCCAGACGCGCCGAATGTGTTGAATGTTCTCAACGCGCCGAACGATCCCCCCGACGCGCCTGCTACTGCTACTACTGCTGCTGCTGTTGAGCTCGCAATAGCGGAAAATACGAGGATAGAGAGAGAGGCAGACAGAAAGGCGGAGGTGCTGAGGAGAAGGTCCGAAGTTGCGAAAGAAGAGGTACGTAGACTAGAGGCAACCAGGATCGCAATGGAGGAGGCGAAGAAAACCCACCAAGACGCAGAAGCCAGAGCAGAATTTGCCAAGGGGGAAAGGGAAGAAGCAGATAGGAGGAGGGTAGAGGAAGCGAAGAGGAAAAGGGAAGTCGAGGCAGAGAGGAAGAGGCTGGTAGAAGCAGAGAGGAAAAGGGTGGAAAAAGCAGTGCGAAGGAGGAGGATGGAGGAAACAGAGGAGAGGAGGAGAGTGGATGAGGCAGTGGAGAGGAGGAGGGAGGAAGAAGCAGAGAGAAGGGTGCTGGAAGCAGTAGGAAGACAAGCGGGAAGAGTAGTGAGGAGAGGAGATGAAGGCGAGGCGCTGGTACAACCGCAACCGGTGAGACCTGCGGTCCCAAATCTGGAGGCCCTGGCTGACCAAGCGAGGCATCCCCTTCCTGCCGAGTTCATTGATGCCCCCCCATATGCGTGAGTGTATAAATTATATCCTATATAAGGATGTATGCATCGTTAAATAGATTTGAGAAGCTAATTAATTCTTTTATTCAAGACGTTGGCTGGGGAGGAAGATGATTTCGCTGGAACAACACTTGAAGTGAGTAGTTATACATATGTACGGTATACCATGGTGAAGAGTGAGACAAAATTTGCCTCATTACCTCACTCTATCATTACCCAAACATAATTTTCAGTAAAATTGTTAGAGGAGTTATACGGATCAAATCCGACACGATGAATTGTATGGGTTGAACTGGAGAGGTTTTTATCATGATTTTACTCTGACGATTCGACCATTACCTTCCTCTATTCACATTGCAATTCACCGAAACAGATTTCCCTTTGAAGTTACATTCCGTTCCCCCTCTACTGGGTTCCCACTTTGTCGTAGTGAGGGGGCTCGGTCGCGGGCGGTGGAGGTCTTAAGGACTACCGCTGCCCGCGGTCGCTAAGAGGAGTCCACCCAATCCATGTGTGTGAGCGGCGTAAGCCATGGCCTCGGCCATACCGTGCCTAAGGATGCGTGGCACAGGGGGAGCTGTGTCGCTAACGGTGCCTCTCAGAAACCTGGGCGACCTCTGAGAGTAGTCTTGGGTGTAACCCACCCGAGACAAGCCAAGCCCTGGGCAATCGCGGCAATGCACCAGGTGAAAACGCTTAACCGCGGTACTCGTGGGACTAAAATGGAAACCAATTTAAAAAATCTTAATATTGAAAAAGC